GTGGGAGGCGAGGTCGCCAATGACGGCCGTGAGCATGCCGATGATGAGGATGGAGACGACGAAGCAGGCCCAGCCGTTGCAGTACTCGGTGGGGGGCACGCAGGCAAACAGCACCTTCCAGAAGACAGTCAGGAAGTGCATCACATAGTCGAAGCAGGACGGCAGGCGCTCCTCGCCGGACTCATCCTCATCCTCATCACCCGCTGCAAACAACGTGGAAGGAGAGGTCCAGCTCTCATGACAGGGCAGGTCACAATTACAGGGGTGGGCTGCAGCCTGTGCTTGCCCGCCCCTGCCCCCAGGGCTCCAGGGATGCTGCTCTCCTGGGACAAGGTGGCATGATGCCAGCCATGCCAGTGGGCTCAGGGCACACCAGCTCCCTTGGTGGTGGGTGAGGCTTTGGAAGAGGGGTGCCCCAGAGAGCACCCCAGAGCCTGCAGGGCTGAGGAGTGGCAGAGCAGTGCCTTGGACCCACGGAGGAGGAGCCCCATCCCTGTCAAGTAGCAGGAGCTACTTGAACGGGACAGCACTGGGCACACCAGGAGCCTGGCCAGCATGGGATTTTGCTGCCTGTACGCTGCTCATCGGACCACTGAAGCAGCAGGACCACATAAAATCTTTGAAAACTGGCCTCCTGGATGGCTCCACACCAAAAGATGGATCTCCTGGGCTCCTGGTTAGTGCATCTGCAAAAGCACAGTATATTTGGAGCAGAAGAGCTCTTTAGAGAGGCTTTGCTGATGGCCACCGCGCACACAGCAGCTGAGCATCACTGACCAGGCAGATGCTGTTTCCTGAGCTCAGAGAGATCTCATCCCAGCCTGCATGAACCCTGCAGATGCTGGTGTGGGTTTTCTCAGGTCCCCCTCACCTGCGCTGACAGTAATGGCCTCCATGAACTGGTCCCTCCAGGAATGTGTCCCTACAACCAAAGCCAGGTTTGTCTTCTTAATCAGCTTGTCCACAGTGCTCTGTTGTGGGAATAAAGACGCAGAGCGATTAAACCGGCTGTTAGCGGGCAAGGCTGATCTTCCAGTGCACTGTCATCTCCTAGACCCTTCCCAAACTGTGGAGGACCCCCCTGGGACAACTACTGACCTTGAATTCATAGGACTCCTCAATGATGACTTCTAGTTTGGGATGCTCTCCGAGTATTGGTTTGCCCATCTCTGCAATCCTCTTGGCTTCCTCCTCTTCAACTGTCAGCTTCCTCTCAGCCACTTCTGTGAAAGCAAGGTCAACACCAAGCTGTAGACAGCAGCCCTGGGGCACCAGGGGCACCGCGGGGGCTTGTCTGGAAGGCCTGAGCACGGGCTTCTGCAGCCCCTTCACAGCTCGCTAAGCCCGCGCAGCAATGTGAGGGGCAGTGGTCAGGTGTTGGACCACAGAAACAAAGGACCAAGGTTTCTGAGTATCACTTAGTCACCGAGAATATATGAAACACGGTTTTAATTTATATTAAAAAAAAAAAAGTTTCTTTAGCCTGCATGGGCTCTCTGGTATGACATATGCCCTCCCATCATCCCTGCAGCAGACACATCTTTGGTGAGACCAAGGCACCGATTCATTCTGCCGTTTGGCACAAGCGTCCTTTAAGACAGCTTCAATGCCCTGGAGTGTTTCCTGGTTTGAAAGAACAAGAGACAGGACCTTTTCATTTCCCTTTGATTAGGAAATCACAGCTGGCACCCTGTGCCACTCAGTACTTGATCTAATGCTCAGACAGACCCACAGAGTCATGACCACACATGCACACAGGTACGCGTTCCTAGTGTTTGGAAAAACGAACAGGAAGAAAGAAGTCAGGAGCCAAGTGGGTCTTTTAGTTCATATTACTGGATGCTTAGCTTCTGCTGGAGGAAACTAAAGCAGGACCCTGGGTCAGGAGCATGCTGAGGTGACGCTGTGTGGGGCTCACCTTGCTGATGCCCCAGCAAACACAGCAAGGAGCACAGGGAGGTTCTGGTTCCCAGATGGGAAGGAGTACCCCAACCAGCAGGAAGGGTGCCCTGGTGCCCTGGCACTGTCCCTGGCCCTGACCAAGACCTACTCTCTCACCCACACCCCAAGCGCAGGCATGTGCTGATGGGCTCTCTGAAAAGCCTTGACATCTCAAGAAAGCCGCAGGGTTTCCCCTGGCCTTCCTGTGCCTGACCAGTTGGGGTGCACGAGGTGCAGCACAGGGCCCAGCTGAGCCTGGGAGCATGAGCTGGAGCTCTGCAGAAACTGGAGGCGGGGCAGGGTGTATCACAAACATAGAGCATCTTGTTGGGCTAAGCAGTGCCGCAGATATTACCCAAGGTCACCTGTAGTGTTTGCAAACTCTCCAAGTAATGCCTCAGATGTGATTAACTCCATGTGGGCTCCAGCAGATCTCACACTTTGCACCAAAAATCACACAAATTATAAACTCCCCATGAAGTCTATTTTTACAGCCTGGCTTCTCTTTATCAACCCAACTAGATTGATTGCAAAGGCTGTAAACCTTGCAAGACCTGCAGAGTTTATACAATATATAACTCCTGTATCAGGTGACATTATTATAACCCATCACAGAAGCAGAAATAACTACATCCATCATTTGAAATCAATTATGTACACCAAAACCATCACTGCCTCGCTCAAAGACAGTGTGTTCTGGATTTAGGAATCTCCAAAACTTTACAAATACTGAGACAGGGGAGCACAGCACCTGGAGGAGATGGGCAATGCAGCTGGGTAATGCAGGGTGCCAGAAAGGTAAGGGGGCTACTGCAGGCAGAGGCCAAGCAAGCAGAGAGGGGAGGAGGCAGCTGAGCTGGAGGAGTGCAGAAAGAGGGGTGAACTTGGACAAAATGTTCTGCCTTATGCTACACTGGGAGACATGAACAAATGATCATCAAGAACAAGATTCAAGTTACTTATGTTCATTTGAGCAAGGAGTTAGATGATATCTACACCTCTTTTTCCAAGACAGAGATCAAGAAAGTCCAGTCTCTGCCTCTACCTGGAAGTGTGTGAAGATGACAAGTTGTATCCATCAAAGAAAATGCAGGTGCTTACCCGTCAGTTGCTGTACCACGTACATGGCTCTCTCCTGTCTGAGCTCCACCATAACCTGAAGCTCGGGGGAGGAGGTACCTCAGCTCTGCAAGGCCCAGCTTGGCTGATGCGTGCTGACAGTACTGAGGTGAGCAAAAGCACAGCAGCCACCCCAGCAGGGCTGCAAAGCCCAGACTCAGTGACAGTCTGGCTCACTACAACCTTCCCTGGGAAGCCACTCCATCAGAAAAGCTGCAGTTGCAGCTGGCGGCATGGTCGCTTGGGCTCTCGCCCACTGGCTGCAGTTGCACAGTGCAGAAAGCAAATGCCTGGAATCAGAGGAGCTGCCCTGAAAATGGGGAATATCGGTCAGAATTTCCTCGTCTTAACAGCTGCAGGAGAAATGATGCAACGTAGCCTCCATCTCCACTTTAACTGATTTGACAAAAGCCTTTGTCACAGTAAGACAATATGGAGCCTCATGCAGATATGAGCTATCTGGGCGAGGCTGAGCTGCAGGCAGGTCTGTAAGCACACACAGTGCAGAATGCCTTCTCCTTCCCAGGGAGTGGTGTCCAACGCGGCTTTATCCCAGAACCTGCTGTCTTGGTATGTGTACCTGTGCCAGGCAGGCGAGTGCAAGACCCGAAACCCTCCTCTGAGGAGGAAGATCTCCTGCATCTCTTGGGACTGTGCACCATGTCCAAGGCTGTCAGGCAGGCTGCACAGAAACACCCGTGCCTATGGCCAGAGGCGGGACTGGATGCCGTGTGAGCATGGGACTGGGCACTCCACCAAAGTGATGGTGCTGGTGCTTAACACAGCATTGAAGGGCTGTGGGACTCGTGCTCTTTCCACCTTGTCAGCAGAAGTGCCACCAGAAGCACTTTCAAGCCCTAGGTAGGCCACTCGTGGTGAAGGGACAAGCTGACCAGCAATGGAGACCTGCAGCCTGCTAACAGCACGTCCACCGAGACATGAATAATGGAGGTCCTGCTGTCACCAGGCAGCTGCTCTGCAGCGAACACAGGGAACTGGGGCGCAGAGAGAAGATACATGGTCACCCAAGAAGGCATATCAAGGATGTCCTATGGGGGCAGTTGACTGATAGCACTGCCAGGCTAAGGCTTTCAATGCCAGCTGCAAGCAAACCGCAAGAGAACAGGCATAGGCAGCATGTCCAAATGGGGACCCTGCAGAAGTGTTAATAGGGGAAGCTTGCAGATAAGGAAAAAAGGAAGTAATTCCTTCATGCCTCGTTAAAAAGCAGGCACATTTGTGAATGTGCAACAGGAAAGCAAAGCACAGAAACCTAATATACTTCAAATGTGCATCTGAAAACATTGAACCTGCCATTGCATTTTCACTGAGCCTCTATCCTAATGTAGGAGACAAACAGAGATTAAGAGTCACATGCCAATATTGTGGTGGATCTGTGCAAGTGACCCACAGGTGACAAATACCAGGCTGCTGACTGTCCTCTGAAGTTAAGGCAGTGCCATTTGTGGCAGAAAGGACAAGCCTAGGAGCCCAGTTGCCATGTCTCTTGCCCCAACCTATACTCTGTATACACACAGTTAAGGGGGAGAGCCAGGCACCTCCAAAGAGCAATACAACGGTGCTACATGAATCCACCACTTCTCCCCACCTACCATTTAGGGCACCTGTAGCTGGAATCACTGCCAGCCTCCATAAAAACACACCCCAGCTTGAACCTGCTCCAGGCCTGCTGGGTCTATCTGTTCCAATGGGATGCTGAGCACTGAGTTGAGCCCTGTGTGTACAGACCCCACAGCTCAGAAGAAATAAACTCTCGCAATATCCCAGTGGCAGAGCACACTCCTGATGCTCCTGCCTTTCAGGGAAGCACTTCAGCCAGCAGCAGGATGCACCAACCTGCCTTGGAGCCACAGGAAGCCGCTGTCTCTGCAACAAGTGTGGGGTATGCTCCCATGGAGGTGAGGGTAGCCACAGCCCCCCACCTCTTGAGGGACCGGGTGTAGGGATGGGGTATCAGAGGGCTCCTCCAGGAAGCAGGAACAGGGCATCGGTGAGGTGTGTCACGTACCAACCCCGTGCGGTAGCCTGCAAAGAAGACTACCGAGGGCTGTGATAAATAAAACACAAGGGGCAGGGGGAGAGACAGACTTTTAATTTGGAAGGTCAAATCTGTCAAGGTGAATGCTGCCAAGTTGCAGCTTAATTATTAACTAGCCTGATTTCTGTTTGTATCAGCATCAATACCTACTTTTTGATGCAGATTGCACCCTGGACTCCCTGCTGTCAACCCCAATTAAGCCTGAGAAGGTCTGGCTATGCCCAGCACGAACAGGAGCTTGCCAGGACCTCCTGGGCTGCCTCCACCTCCTCCTTGGGAAAGGGAAGGTGGGGAGAGAGGGGTCCCCTAAACCCTGCCTGCTCTGGGACATCGGTGTGTGCTACCACTGAGTGCTAGCAATCCATCTATCTGGGCTAGAGGAGCACACAGGCTGCGGAGGCCAGGCAAGCTGGGGCTGCAGCACGCACTAAGGTATTCTGCTCCTCATGCCAGGGTGCCTGCAGGTTAAAGGAGATGTTACAAGCAGGGGAGACAACAGGTCTGGTAAGACCAAAGGCTGGGTGCGAGGAATGAGGATGAAGTCTGCTTTTGCCCAGGCTGTAGCAATGGCCACAGCTGACACCCACCAGGCGCTGGACCCAACTCCTGCCTGCAGGAAGCAAGAAGAGGTTTTTGGTCAAACCACTCTCACTTATCCTGCCTCATTCAGGGTCAGTTCAGACCCTTAAAGGTAGGAGAGATGAAGGGGCCAGTTATGAGCTCCTAGTTATGGTCCTGCCACTGCCATGCTCTTCAGCCCTCCTGGGCACGTCCCTGCCAGGCATGTCCCTGCCATGCTCACTCAGAGCTCTCACTGGCATGGGAATGACTTTAGCCTGGCAGGACCATCCTGGGATCTGCAGCTATTTGCAAAGCGCTTTCCGACCTACACATGACAGGCAGTTTTATGGGCTCAAAATACTGTAAGCAGATCCCTTCCTCCTCTTATTTTTTCCAGGGGAAAGGGTAGCATTGAGCAGTGTCCCCACATCATACTTTGCTCCTGGAAGAGAGACACTCCATGACTGCTTGTGAGCTCAACCTCCTTCAGACCAGGGGGACCAAATGGGAACTGGACATTGCCTGTGTCCCCCTGGACACATCATAGATCAAAGTTAGATAAAGCCCATTTCCATGGAGTAATCTGGCCACTACCCCTTCTGAGCTGAAGCAGGCAATGGAAGGCCCTGGATCACCGTTAGAGAGGTACCTTCCCATCACCTAGGCCATGCTGCAAGCCTGCCAAACAGCCATGGACCAGTTCATGTTCCCTGGCACTTGCTGAATAAATTGGATTAAAACCAGCAACGTATTCATGAAAGATTGCTATGAAGGCCATTTCACACCCCTCGAGCTATCTTGTCTCCATCCATTTCCAGAGCAGGCATGTATCTGCATGAAGGTCACCCCTTCTGGGGACTGAGCTGCTAGGAAGAAATTAAAATGACAATTAAAATAGGATTTTTTGTTTGTTTGTTGCAGCTCAATAAAATATAATCCCAGCTAAACAAAGTAAACAGTGAGCATGAATGAGTTCCTCTCTCCAGAGTGCTGTCAAGCCATCAGTCACAGCTAGGGAAGACTCCTGGCTAAAAGACACGCTGGCTTTTGAGGTTAGCATATGGATGTGCCCTTTACTAGAACACGTGCACACACACAAGCACCGACAGCCTGGGCTGCTTTCTAAAAAGGGAGGAATCTGCCTACTTAGCCCTGAAAGCTATTTCTGAGGCATGATATATCTCGTATACATGCCCCAGCATCCTTAATGCTAACTGGGAAGTGCTGCGCATTCATGAGCGGGCGGTGAAGGCACAGGGCTGGGAACTGCGCATTATTCCACTGCTGGCTCTGCCTTGAGATTGCTGTTGACATGACAGTCCCCCAACAGGCCAGTCAGCTGGCGTCTCTGCTCCCCTGTCTTTCCCACTGCAAAGTGGACCCATGAATTCTAATGCATAAATAAAGAAATGCATTTAGAAATATTTTGTTTGATCTGAGTGAATATGAGACAATTCCTCATCCCTTTAAAGATCTGAATGCCCTGAGCCCAAAAACCTGCAAGCCAAGGCTCCGCTCAGGCTTTCAGTGAATTTTGCAAAGGCTGGAAAGACCACCACAGCAGCTCGGCCCCTGCTGGTAATGGAGTACCTACGCACCTTGGTATTGAACATTTACCTGTATAATGAGTATACGGAGAGATCATTGCTAGTGCCAGAACAAAATGTTATGCATCAGAGCAGTTAGAAAAAAAACAGGTTTGACTCTCAAGTCACTCCACAGCCACCCCGTACTACTGGGGTCCTCAGCAGCCCCAACAGCTGGCACTGGACACCTGGCCAAGCAAAGCTTTCAAAAGCTTTGTACAGACTTGCAAGTCTGGCTCGGTGAGCCCGTTTGGAGGAAACAAATGCTGAGCTGAACATGTGCCAAAGACTCTCCCCTGCTCAGTGACTTTGCCTTGTGTAAAATTCACATCCCTGTCTTCCCAGGGAGGGCTCTGCAAGGCTAAGGGGCAGAGCCAGGATCTCGCATTTACCTCCAAGGTAGGGCTGCTGGGACAAGAGAAGCATTTTCACTTGGGCTCATCCCTCTGGGCATCCCAGGGCTTCTGCAGAGACAGAGCCACTGCAGCAAGCAGCCATGCCGCTGGCAGCCCCCCGGGAGCTGCTGAAGAAGAGGACAAAAGCTCCAGGGTTGCACAGGAGAGCTAGGGTGCCCGGTGGTCTGGGGGAGGCAGCCCAGGGGAACAGGGCGCTGCCGGGAAAAGCTGCGCCAGCTGCTCCAGGAGAGAGGGGACGAGGAGTGGGACCGACAGACTCCGCTGAAACGTTCAATAATGCAGTTTCTTATACAAAGATTCCTGCGTGTCCGTGTAATCTAAATCTAACATGACACGGACTAAACGAGGACGTCACTTCTCTCCCCGCTGATTAGCCGTGATTGCTGCTGAGTGACACTCCGGCACATGCCTCTGTGGCGAGCAGGGCTCTGCTCACCGGCCGGCCGCTAGCTTGGAGCGTGCGGGGGCCAAGCACCGGGAGCTCAAACCATGGGCCAAGCACATGCTGTAGGCACAGAGGGCACCCCAGGGCAGCCCAGCCACGTGGGTACCCCAGGAACCCCCCCCTCAGACAGAGAGGAGGCTTTTCTTTATTAAAGGGAAAGCAACTTTC